GTTTTGATTTGCATTTCTCTGATAATTAGTGATATTGAGCATTTTTTCATGTGCCTATTGATCATTTGTATTTCTTCCTTGGAGAATTGCTTGTTTAGGTCTTCTTCCCATTTTTGGATTGGGTTTTTTTTTCTTATTAAGTCATATGAGCTTATATATGCTGGAGATCAAGCCTTTGTCAGTCCTTCTCGTGTAGTTTTCATTTCAGCTTTATATTCTTTACCTCTGTTTGGCTGTTCTTTATTTTTATTATCTCTTTGCTAACAACTTCTATCTTCTTGCTCTGTTTGTCAATTTTACTTCTGAGATCTTTTATCATTCTTATGGTCATAACTCTAAAGTATTTCTCAGGTAGATTGCCTATTTCCACATCACTTAGCTCTTCTTTTGGGGTTTTATCTTGTCCCTTTGTCTGGAAGGTACTCCTCTGCCACCTCATTTTGTTTAAATTTCTATTTGTATTTTTTGTGTGTGGCTCGTTAGTTAAGTTTCTCAATCTTGGAGAAGTGGCCCTCTGTAAGAGATGTCCTTTGTGTCCCAACAGTGCACTCCCCTCTCTTCACCCAAAGGCCTATGGCCAGATGGCCCCAGGCTAGATTTTGGCTAGTGTTTGTGGACTTGTTTTGCAGGTTGCAAGAAGGAAGTTTTCTAGCTTCTGGTGTCTGCCCCTCTGGTGGGTGAGAAGGCTGTAGAGGTTTGTGCAGGCTTCCTGGCTGGAGGGCTGGTGCCTGCCCACTGGTAGGTGGAGCTGAGTCCTGACTCTCTGGTGGACAGGGCTGTATCTAGGGCTGTGCCTGGAGGCAGCTATAGAGTCAGTTTTAGGCAGTCTGTCTGCTGACAGATTGGGATATGTCCCCATCTAGTTAGTAGTTTGGCTTGAAGTGTCCCAGTACTGGAGCCTAAGGCTGTTGGGTGGGCCCAAGTCTCAGTGCTAAAATCCAAGCAAGATGTCAGCCTCCCAGAATAGTTCCTTCCGATGAATATCCTAATGTCTACCATCATGTCGATGTCCCAAAGTTGAGCCACAGCCACCCTTCACCTCCCTAGCTGACCCTCAAGACTAGCTGGTAGATCTGGCCCAATTTCCTATGAAATTACTACTTTTGCCCTTGGTCCTAATGAGCATCAGATTTTCTGTGAAACCCTTAAATATTAACTCTCTGTTTCCCCCAGCCCCACAGAGCTCCTGTAATCAAGCCTTCACTGACCTTCAAAGCCCAGCACTCTGGGGGTTCCTCTTCGTGGTGCCAGACCTCTGGGGTTCAGGAGCCTGACATGGAACTCAGAACTCTCACTCCTATGAGATAACATCTGTAATATAATTATTCTCCAGTTTGTGAGTTGCCCACCTGAAGGGTATGTGACCTGATTATATCACAAGTTTGCCCTTCCTACCAGTTTCATCATGATTTCTTCTTTAAATTTTTAGCCATAGAAGATCTCTTCTGGTAGTTTCCAGTCTTTTTTATTGACAGCTGTTCTGCAATTAGTTGTGATCTTGGTGTGTCTGTGACAGGAGGTGAAATCTAGCTCCATCTACTCCACCATCTTGGCTGCCAGTCTCCAAAGCATCTTTATTTAGTTATATACATACATACAGTTTCTTAAATACCTGACTTGACTGAATCATCACAGCAGCAGTGTGCGGCAGACATGCCATTATTTCCTGTGCATAAGGTGATGAAATCAAGGCAATAAGGAATATAATAAAACTATTCATGAAAGAGCCACAACTTATTGTGGTTACAACCTTGGGCATTGGTATTAGCAAATCTGAGTTGAATACCATCTCTTGCACTTGATGATTCTGTGATCTTGAGTAAATTAACTTCTCTAAGCCTCAGTATTATCACCTCTAAAATAAGACTAATAGTATAATTAAATTTGAGGACCCTTATTAAGCTATTATCAGAGTATGTAATCCACACCTTGCCTTCTATTAATACCAGGTAAAGTTTATGTGTTCTAAATTGGAGTTTTTTCCAACATATTATGCTGTATTACCATTTCTTCTTTAAAAATATTTAATTAAGATCATCTTACAAACGTTCTCATAATTTTTTTTTTAAATAGGGTTCTACCCTGCCATTAATATGGCTGTAAAGATGCTTTGGAAACGTCCCATTCTTGGTTGGATCTACTTCAGCTGATCTTACTTCTAGGCAGAAAGAGGTGAGTGGGCAATGAGTTAATTATAGAATTAAACTCTTGCTAATATGTTAGTAGTTATGTATTGCCCTGATAAAAAACTATAATAACTTAATCCTTTAAGTTGAACAGATTGTTAAGGCAATTTTACAGAACTAAGGCCAAAAGTATAGAATTTGGACACCATGACCAAGCAATGAGGACCTTTTTCTGGTCATAAATCACACTTTGTGGCATTAAAGATGTGTTGCTGCTACACTAGGAAGAACATGGTAGATCTCAATATGCCTAATCATTCTGTCTTTAAAAGAAAAAATTTCTTACCTGACAACTTCATGTGTTAATAGAAAAAAAAATGACATCTATGCAATATAACTATATGAAGTAGAAAATGTAGTTTAAATATTAATGTGATATGTGTGAAACTTAACTCCTATGAACTCCTATTTGAAAAAAATACAATCTTTTTAAAATTATTTTTTAATTCTCTTGGTTAGATTCTGAGTCTCCATGGTAAACCCAAGTCTGGTGGTTCTTCTCCTCCCTGCTCAAATCTAAGGTCCTAGATCCCCTGGGAGACTCAGCTCTCTGGGACTCAGGTCCCACCACCCTACACACGTCATGACAGCCTTCATTTCTGAGGTCTTGCCTGTCTCTAGGAAGCTTCCATGAAGTGTCCTCCAGTTGCATCCATGCTCAGTAATTAATGACTTGACTTTTTTCTAGACTCTGAGCATCTCTTCTACTCTTGACCTTAAAATTGTCCTTTCTTTCTACCATTTCTTTCTCCTATCTCTTTTTCACAATTCACTTTACAAAAAGACTGAAGGACTAAGATGGAAGAACAAGCTAATTTGGGAATAAAAGTAGACCAATCTCTGATCCTCTCCACTCCTGTTGTTTCCTGTCGTCTCCTGTCATCTCCTTTCCTTTTCTTTCTTCCTCTTCCCCTCTATTCTCTCTCTCTCTTCCCATTTCTCTTTTTCTGTGCATGTGTGTGTGTGTGTGTGTCTCACATACATATGCTCTCTGCTCAAGATTTATAATGTCCATTTTAAAACTATTTTTAATTTTCATATATTTAATTTTATACATTATTTTATTTTGATTGATATGTAAATAAGTGCTTTATTTTAAAAATGAAGAGAGAAAATCAGTGAAGAAAAGGATAGTGTGTGAGGCTTCCTGGGTTCTTGTCATTTCACTACATATAATATCAATCAGAACCTCTATTCGCAACACATAGTGTTTTGTCTAACTGGGTCTAATGATGGAAACAGACTTTTTAAACTGAATTCAATGTAGGTGGCAATGCTTCAGATCACTTGGTGGTGGCAGCTAAACATAATGGCACCAGCAGCCACTATTGAAAACATTGTGGAGATTTATCAAAAAACTAAAAATATAACTACTATATGACTCAGCAATTCTACCTCTGAGAATATATCCCAAAAAATGAAAACACTATTTCAAAAAATGGATGAACCAAAATATTCATAGCAGTATTACTTAAAGTTACCAAGATATGGAAGCAACCTAAGTGTCCATCAACAAATGAGTGGATAAAGAATATGTGATATATAAATGTATATATACATATATATAAACAATAGAATATTACTCAACCCAAAAAAAGAATGAAATTTTTGCCATTTGCAACAACATGGATGGACTTGGAGGGTTTTATGGTTAGTGAAATAAGTCATAGAGAAATACAGATATTGTATGTTATCTCTTATATGTGGAATCTAAAAAATAGTTAGTGAATAGAACAAATCAGAAACAGATTCACAGGTGCAGAGAACAAACTAGTGGTTACCAGTGAGGAGAGGAAAGAGGGGAGGGGTAAGGGATTTAGAGAGACAAACTACTAGGTATTAAATAAATAAACTACAAAGATACGTTGCAGAACACAGATATAGCTAAGATTTTACAGTAACTGTAAGCTGAATAACAAGTTTTTAAATTGTGGATCATTATGCCATGCATCTGAAACATATAAAATATTGTACACCAACTATACTTCAATAAAATAAAGAAAGAATAAAATAAAAATTACAAAATAAACAAACTGGCACCAAAAATTAAGGAAGCTAGGTTTTCACTTACCTCTCCACTTAGCTGTTCTTGGGACTCACTAACTGTCACTTACATACTCACACCCCTGTCTTCCTTATAAGGCTAATAATATCAGCCCAAATCTTATTTATACTGAGGTAAATGTGTTGCCTTCTTTATCATTGTCTTGAGGGCCTCTTTGATATCCTTGTTCCTCAGACTGTATATAAGAGGGTTTAACATGGGGATAAGGATAACATAGAACACGGAAAGCACCTTGTCCTCCTTCTTGAGGTGGCTAGAGCTGGGAAGCAGGTACACAGAGAGGCCTGTGCCAAAGAAGAGCGTCACAGTTGCCAAGTGGGAGGCACAAGTACTGAACGCCTTGGCACTACCTTTGATAGAGGATATTTTCAGGATGGAAACTGCAATGAAACCATAGGATAAGATGATAACAAGCAAAGAACAGAATCCAAAAATAATAGATACTAGAAAAAGCATCATTTGGCTGATGAAGGGATTGGAGCAAGACAAGGAAATAATCTGAGGTACATCACAGAAGAAATGTTGAATGAGATTTGGCCCACAGTAGTAGAGATGAAAGCAGGAGATTGTTACAACTAAGCTACCAAGGAAACCACTCCCAAAAGCCCCAGCAATCATCTTCTGACAGAGGCCAGGAGACATGATGGCTGGGTACTGCAAAGGGCTACCAATAGCAACATATCTGTCACAGGCCATGACAGCCAAGAGGCAGCACTCAGACAGACCCATCCAGCACCCAACAAAATACTGGGTGGCACAGGCAATGAAGGAAATCTTTTTTTCAACTTTCAAGAAATCTGAAAGCATCCTTGGGCTGACAGAAGAAGAATAGCTGATGTCAATAAAAGACAGGAAACTGAAGAAAAAGTACATAGGTGTGTGGAGGTGGGAGTCCATCTTGATTAGGATGATAAGACCCAGGTTCCAGATTAGGGTCACGAGGTAGATCCCTAGGAAGA